ATTAATATTTATCTAATGTGATGAATAATGGAGTAAAAAACTCATTCTAGAAATATAAACAAACTGAGATGCTTAAAAACATTTAGGCTTAACCGCGGATAGTCAATTCATTTTTGGATTTCAAGTGCATATATTTTTTAGAGTTTCCAAATCAAGAAACTATCTATAATCATATCAGCTCGAATCACTTTGGGGAATGTCCCTTATGTTTAGGTTACGGTGGTACATTCTATTTGACTAATCATCTACTAGAACAAGTATGTATCACAGGTATTATTACATTGTACTATAGGTCAGTATTTTATAAACTAAAATGTTTGTAGTTTTCCCAAATAGTGCATTAGCAAATGTCATTTTTGAAGTTTTGTTAATAAATGTTTCAGTATGTGTGATACCTGTTATTGCTGTGATTATATTTACATATATTAATGATATCGACTCAATACATACTAGGTGAAATCTATAACCAATTTTAATATACCCGTTGTGCTGGAATTTCGGACATTAGATCTTTGACACTTACATTACACGTTTCCCATCGTTTAAAACTGGCGTATTTCATCATAGCCTATTAAAATATCATCAATATATGTATGTAAAGTCACAGACTTGACACATACTGAAACATCTATTAACAAAACTTCAAGTTAGGAAAAAAACGACTTTATCTAAAATAATGTACATTTATCCTACCTTTGAAGATTATAAGAACAAACAAAATATGTAAAATGACTGTGATAACAATAAACATTTTATTGATAAAATATTTGAATTTTGTTGCTTTTATTATTTCTTACGATCAAAAAATATGGTCTACAAGAGAAAAAAAAAAAGACATTTTCTTTCACATTTTATAAATCCATCATGTTTACTGTACATTGTTTATCCTTACAGAATATATTTTGCAACTAAAATAAATTGTATGTTCGAATCTTCGTCCCACAAAATCTGCTCACCCTTTCAGTCGTGAGGGCGTTATAATGTGACGGTCAATCCCACTATTCGTTGGTCAAAAAGTAGCCCAATAGTTGGCGGTGGGTGGTGATGACTAGCTGCCTTCCCTCTTGTCTTTCACTACTAAATTATGGACAGCTAGCGCAAATAGCCCTCGTGTAGCTTTGCGCGAAATTCAAAACACACAAACACTATACGTCTAACAGCGAAGAATGGATTTTGTACATCACTGAACTTAACAGTCAGGAAAAAAATATATATTTATACTTGCACTTTACATAACGATATAGAAAGTTAGATTTACGTTCATGAAATTCTCTTTCTCAATATTTGAGAGTACATAAAGAAGTTATTTTCTGTTTTAAGTTACTACTTTCTGTTTTTGATCTAGAACTCGCATATCTGTATTTTAAAATTATTATTGTTTACAAATATAACTTATCAAGACCTATACATAGATGTAATAATCTTCAGCATGTTATAGTTTAAACACGTAAAATGTCGATGAAAAGAAAAAAAAATATTCAGAAAACTATGTTCAACGGCAGCCTCGAGGTATTATACCGAGACTGTCAGGGTGCGCGTCAATCGTAAAGTGTAGACAAGCACTACGGTAGTCAGGCTGGTAACGTAGTTGTTGTTGTTGTTGGTTTGTTTTTTCCTCTCCTATAGTAGGGTGTTCAACTTCGTGGTTCTCCTTTAAGTCACAAAAAATCAAACAAACTAAACGAAAACGTACAACGACTTTCTTCAATTACGGGAACGTCCGAAAGCATAGCAATAAGACTGATAACATTTCCTTATACATCTTTCTTTACCGACCCTTTACAACAGTTTTCCAATCAGAGGAAATAAAATGAAGCACATCTGGATTATGCACACACAGTTTGGTACGTCGGGCACAGTTTAATCTAACCGAGTAGTGAGCGTAAAATGTTTCTGTTGTAAAGTAAGACAAACTGAGAAAAATACAAGAATTGTACATAATTTTTTTTTCTTTTATCAACTATATTAAAAATCTTACATTCTGAACTGAAATGGACCTGAAGTAGAAACGTACAAAAGTTTTATGACAAGTTGTGACTGATGTATAAGTTCTACCTTATGCAATAATTAAAACCAAGAACTATTAGATATCATCTGATATATAACAACACAGAACACTTATTTACAACTGACCAAAAAACCATTAATATTTGATGATCTTTGTATAAAGTATAATTGAAATGAAAGATAATGCATCACACGTTATTGTAACATTGTTTCAAAGTATCAATATCAATGTGAGGAAAATATCTGTTTTGAAATTTAAAATAGTGCATAAACTACTTTTTATGAGCCTACAGACTAAAATCTTACAGAATGAATTTAATGAACTAATATGCAGTTATCAAATAATTTGTCCAGAACGTTTTATATTCTTATCCTAAAAATACGTAAAAATAATCAGCAAAATAACAGATGCATCAAATGTTATTGACTTACTTTCACAGGACATTGCTACTAGGAATAAAAAATGTGTTAAATGTATGTGTTCCTTAGAATTTGCTTAAGTTGAAAGATTCTACATAATAACATGACGTAGTGGCAGGCTATAAGCGAGAGGGCCAAAAGTTCTATTGTCTAAACTTCCAGCACGACACAAGATAGTCAATTCATTTATGGGTTTCAAGTCCACGATATATTTGTAGAGTTTCTAAATTAAGGAATGTTCTATGATCATATTAGATTGAATCACTTTGGGTAATGTCCCTTATGTTTTGTTCACGGTGATTTATTCTACTGGATATACCATTTTTTTGTTATTTTTTTTATAAAAGAGTTAACACAAAGGATCACATATACAGTGTAATAGACTTAAAATAAGACCCGAAACTCGAGCGCTTTCGAATAGTTGACTATTCTTCTTCAAGAGAACGAAGGGTATACTGTAAATATTGTTACATTGGGTTGTAGGTATAGTGTGAAATAGGCATCACGTATTTCAAATGAGGATTCGTCTAGATGATGGAGAAGAAAACGGATATTAATCTGAAGAAAATAATTTAACTTTGTTTAAGCAATTCACATTTAAAGGTCCTTTTCACGATCATCACATCTAAGAAAGAGAAAGCAGTGATTGCACATTTCACCTCTATTGATGAAGAGGTTTCTCTATTCTCATATTAACAATGAACATCGGCATTAATCTGTTGTCTTTCTCGCAAGTTTTCTATGAATGATTAGCTACAAATCTGAACAGTTGGTCTAAGATCATGATTCCTTATTTAATACTTGAAATTTTCTGAATAAATATTTCAGTATGTATGACAAGAGTCTTATTTAGGGTTTGTGATACTTACATACATTGAGGAAGCATATCTATATGGAGACTTGTATTAGCCAGCATTATGAATAAAGCTCCAAACCAGCAAGGAACAAGCTATAGACAAACATTTGTGAAGATTTCTACAGAAAGGTAAGGATATAATTTTCTACATTACGAATGGTTAAACATAGTTATTAGAAAAAAATTATAAATAAACTTTAGTGAAGCAAATCGAGTTATAAAGCTAAATATGAAAATTAAATTTTGTATATTATTTAGAGATTTAAATAAGTGCCATTTTCAAGGTAAATAGATGTTATGCAATATAATAATTATAGAAATTAAAAATAATGAATTAATGATAAGTGTTTTACAGATAAAATAGCCCCCAGTGGCACAGCGGTATGTCTGCGGACTTACAACACTAGAAATCGGGTCTCGATACCCGTGGTGGGCAGAGCACAGATAGTCCATTTTATAGCTTTGTGCTTAATTAGAAACAAATAAACAAATACATATATAAAATTTCAGAAAATTCAAAAAAGTGTGTCATACAAATTAAATATAGAAATGAAAATCATATACTACTTACTGTATGTTCGTAACACTTCCATCTACAGAAACATCCATCTGCCTTTATAGAACGCATGCAGCATAATTAAATGAAAAATATGAACATAAATTAAAATAAGCTGAAATCTATATGCAGTCCTATGGAAGTACAGCAACATTGTGTACCTATAGAAATGTCTGGTTAAAACATATTGGAGTTTTTACATGAGTGAAAGAATAACCTATTTGAAAATGTAAAACATGTGATATGTTTGAATCCTTTATTCATTATCGAGTAAAATTATAATCATCGTATATCATTGTTTTCAAACAAAAGAATGCTTAAGGATGTAACAATAGACAAAATTCATTTCTCCAAATATACCTTATTAGCTTATTTGTAAAGATTTTGTTTTCACTCTTTCCTTAAGATATTTTTTATTATGCATTATTCTATTAAGAAAAGTTTCGCTGTTTTGCCCAATAGTGGAATCAATAATCAAATCTTGCAGGTCTCTTTCTGTGTGGTCCTAGTTTCCCAAATTGATAAATGTTCCTTTGCTTTTTAATGTCTTTCAGTTCAAGGGGTATACCCGTCTTCTAAGTTTTAAATCCTCAATCTGAACACATCTTTATGACCTGAGTGTATGAGTATTTTGCATTGGAAAGGGTTGTTACATACTCTTCCAAAAAGCAATCAATTTTTGATGGCGTCACACCAACTACATAACGCCAAACAATATCAAAATGTTGTTCCGATACATGACGTGACCCCACAACTTAATATCAGCTGTGATTGTAATGTGACTTGCTTATAGGCATATTCAAAATAGTTTTAATATAATTCTCTGCATACCAGTATTAATAATTTTATACTCTAACATTTCATTTTACACTATAGCAACATTTTCCTTAAATTACTGTAAATCGTATATTACATTGTTGTGCAAACTCTGAGCTTTGCTTTAATTATGGTTGCTTTATGAAAGTAATCTCGTTGTGTAGTTCTTCCTTCTAATGCTCTTTTGACGTTCTTTGTTTCAGTTTTGTTATAATATAACTGTAGTGTGTGTAAATGTATTTATACAGATGTTCTAACAATTGAAAGATAACATACATTTCTCCGTAAATCACTTGAATAGAGTAGGTTTATTCACAATCAACCTATATACAAACATGTGGCGAAACTTCTCGCGTATAATAACAAAATATTCTATATAAGTTAGTCAGCGTGCTTCCCTCCTCCACCAAGATTAATGTAATTAAAAGATCAAAACCCATTTCTTGATATTCACCAATTCCTAAGCCACCAAGCAGAGAAATCTTGCTCTTTTTTATATATTTTTTCCATGCCTGCTTTTCTATCTAACGTTATTCGCCGTTTTCTTCTTGCGGTTCCTCTTTTTCTGTTGTTTCGCTTACAACTACTACTTCTGGTTGTTTCTCTGGAGGAGGAGAAGCAGGGAGAGGGACAGGAGCAGGAGCAAGGACAGAAGCAGAATCTTCTATACGAGGCTTCCTGTTGGATATCGGAAGACTTCTTCCCAGTGACGGAGCTGCCTTTTCTATGTCCTGCTCTGTCAGGAAGAGAGTGTCTTCAAGGCCGATGTTACCATTAACATAAAAAAAGTATGTAGAGTTAACACACGGTACCACTTCATCTGCAAAACCGCAGGTTAGGGTCAACTGGTTAAAAAACGTAAGGTTTCCACACAGGAAACTCCACTGTTGAACCTCCGATTTACCATTAGCGTGAGTGACCGTATGACAAACGTGGAATATCTTACAGTCGTTGTCCACGTCAGCATAATAGCCATCCCCAGGGCACGAAAACGTAGTTTGAATATTTCCAACAAGTAACTCAGCTCCATCTGGAAGATCGTATGCTCGCCGCTTGTACTGCAAAGGAAAAAATATATATAAAAAATACCTAAGCAATTTTAAATATATCAAATATGTAGATGCGTGAAATATACAGAAAAAGTTAACATTCAATAACTATTTGTATGCTAGCTTTCTTTATTCATTGTTTATATTTCTACAAAGATATCGACTAAAAGCTAGAAATATTCAACAAGAAACTAGTGGTGCTTCGATCAAGCCAACAAGGAGTTAGTGGAGATACAACAATCCAATAAGGAACGAAAGGTACTACAAACCGATGAAGAAGAAGCTAGTAGTGCTATAGACGGGCCAACAAGGGATAAGTGGTACTACAAACAGTTCAACGAAGGGGCTAGTGGTACTACAAACAGTTCAACAAGGGGCTAGTAGTGCTATAGACGGGCCAACAAGGGATAAGTGGTACTACAAACAGTTCAACGAAGGGGCTAGTGGTACTGCATACAATTCAACAAGGAGCTAGTAGTGCTATAGACGGGCCAACAAGGGATAAGTGGTACTACAAACAGTTCAACGAAGGGGCTAGTGGTACTGCATACAATTCAACAAGGAGCTAGTAGTGCTATAGACGGGCCAACAAGGGATAAGTGGTACTA